CAGTCGAGATGATTCTATTGTATAACCTGCCTTGCCACCCTTCAATCAATTAATGATCTTAACCGTTAAGAATTCTTTAAGAGGTTAACCATATAATGTTTGACGGTTAACACGGATTTATATATAGCAATTTTTAATTGTCAAAATAATAGAATCAGTGGGAGATCACTAGGAAAGATCTCTTATGCCAAGAGATTGTGTAATCAAAGGTAAAGTTCAAAATAAATATTTAATTTTAATTAACAAAGTAATTTAATTCATTAATATAAATTCAAAAACAACAAAAATAACTACAAGCTTTATTAACGTAATTTAAATAATATTCAATTCAAACATAAATTAGATTTATTCCAAAATAATAAAAAATTTCAATAAATAATCAACGAACTGCATCAACTTTTATGGCAAAAATGGTAAAGCCTTCGATTTTGTTAGAGCATAATAAAGTTATATATCAATTTCGGTTTGCACAAAAGAAATAAAAGCAGAAAAGTAGTTAGATAAGAGTTCAATTAATTATTTTTCTTCAAACCACGCATTGCCTATCTTTCAGATATCTCCTTTATAAGTGTCACGAGATATTTAGCTCACCAAATGGCCGTTTACCAGTTACAAACATTCCAAAGCTATAAACATCTGCAGCATTAGTGTATGGCTCAGGTACCCGGAAAAATTCTGATATATGAAATTTTGAAACAAAGGAAGAAAATGGAATAAATTGGTATAAAAAGGGAATTTTATAAAATATATGTATGATTATTGAATATTTCATTTGAACAAAAATTATCATTTTGTCTTTTTATGAAAATGTCTCTTAATCAAAAACGAATAGCATATAGTCGTGCACAAGAGATTTTTGTTATGAGAACGGAATTTTATTGCATGAGTGTCAGTTTGTAGTCATCCAATTAAATGGGAACATTAAACAACTATTACATGTATTTCACATATTAATATAGCAAGTCATAAAAAACTAGAAGAAAATCATAGTCCTGTGCAAATAACACAACAAACGTTAAATTCGACACTTAATAATAATGAAACTTTACAAGAATGGACAATTGAATTGATTTTGGAATAAAATTTCATATCAATTAGTGAAATAGGTATTAAATATGTTTAATTACCAATTCATCATGTAGTATAGAGCGTAGTGATAGGAAAAATCCTTGCCAGGAATCTTTTCGTGCCTTACGATTATATATTATAATAATAATTAATATATATAATTAATAAAATTCAATAATAAAACGGGATTTTTCCGTGTCTCTGGTATAGTTTCTCTTTGTGTCGGATTTGTTCTGCCGAGTTGATCAATTCTTATTGGTTATTTGCGCACTCCTATTGAATGAAATTACAGATTAGGAAATTTGAAATTAATACAGCAAAAACTGTTCATGGGTCAAGTACAACAGTAATGGTGTAAATTATTTTAGAATTCTTACACCGTTTCTGTTGCACTTGGATATAATGAACCATAACACAAGCATTGAATTTGCTATAGGTTCGTCATAAATATTCGTAGTTATATGATTCTGCAACAAGTTATTTATAGCATAATTAAACGTTAATAACTCCTTAGAGAAAATCTATCGCTACGGAGTTATCACTCCTTTGTCCGTTATGGCAGAAAGATCAACAATGTATGTTAATTTCCTTTTTTTAGAGAAAATTAACGGAACTATACACGTATGCTAATTTTTTTAACTCAATAAAAAGGTTTGTTTTCTGCTTTTTTGACCTTTCTTATTCATTCGATATAATATGAGTACGCCGGTTAGTAATAAAAAACCAAAAAAAAATTTGCAAAGCCAAAATCTATTTCGTTTGATCCTGATGACGATGGTTTGATGCGTCTATCATTTAAATATTCGGATGGATGCAAGCATGAAATCATAGAACCTCACACAGATGTGTTCTTTGATAAAATGTTTAATAACGGTAAAAAAAAACTAGCCAACTATTTTTTAATGTACAGAAGTTGTCTTTCAAATGCAATGTTAAAAGAAGAAGAATTGCGTTGTACCGAACAGTCGTGCCCTTTGATTGCACTTTCTAAGAAGGATAAACAAACTTTTATATCAGAACTAAGCTCATATATAAGGGAAGAGCATGAAAATATAATATTTCGTCAATTTTTTCCATTATATGAAAATTAAAAAGTATTAAAAAGCAAACGCCAACTAACGTGTGAGTCCTTGCTTTGTTTTTAAAATTATAAATTTTTTTTAAATTTGTTTTCTATTAAACTTAAAAAATAAAAATTCGCGTGTCATTCTAGGAATAAACCACAACGATGCTATTCTGATTCAACATCCCCATTTCTAGCAGGATCGACTATTCCAATGCCTTCACAATATTCAGCGGCTGGTACGCCAGAAATATCATTATATTTTGATTCAGAAAATTGTATGGAGCCAAGCCCAATTACTCGGTTATCATGCCCGAGCGCAATTTCTACAATTTCACAGTATCCATTTATGGCTG